ATTGATGAGTTTACATGCGACTGAAAACAAGTCAATTGTATCTGACCACGCTGCATATAAACAAACAAAGAGAAAACCGAAATTAGTCCCGTTTCAGAGACGTCAAATTTTTCATGTACCGAATCGAATGCATTGGAACATATACAAAGACTTCAGCTTATCAACATCAGGTCTGGTTTACACTGTCAAAGATCCTGTGTTCAGAGCAGTGAATTGTAATAAATAACTGTAACGATACCTCTTCACATTGTTTTTGTGAAGCCAAAGAAGCCAGACACGCGTGACACAAAAACAATGAGGAGGTATCGTTCCAGTTATTATTTGCGTTCAATGCTTCAGAGTTAAAATTTTGCATTGGTAAATCCAATTGATAAATTACCTAAAAAATTGTGAAAGTGCATGGGGTATGCAGTTTGTGCTGAACCTAAGGTATAGTCTCTGCATGCATTGTCTGAAAAGGATAATAAACGTTCCAAGCCATGGTGGTTGGTGTTGTATTATGAGTGCGAGGTTTCTTTGCTTTCAAATACTGATATAAATTTGCACGGTTATTATCTGTTATTATCATGTTTTATGACAGTAAAAATCATTTGGGAGGACGATTTGAGGATGACGAATCCACTTGAGACACAGCTGAAATGTATAGTACTCACCGACGAAGCAGTATCATCGTTAAAACATGAGAAAATCAAACCAACAAAACCTGGATCCATCATCTGGTACATGGCCTGAGTCTGAACGTCTGCAAGGAAAGGACGGCTTTGTGTGTGAAATATTTTGACTGTTCTTGATATTTTAAGAAATAGACAATTTCCCTTTAAGAAATTATCGGTACTTTGTTGCACAGTAGATCTGAACAGAGCAACCCCAGTGCAGTGATAGCGCATATGACTCGGGTGTTTAAATGAATATTAAAATGGTGCTACTCTAAAACCGGGTAGTCTAAAAAATTAGCTTGACCATATTGGCAATCGAGACCGCGGCCTTTGGTTTGCTAGCCCAATGCTCTTTCAACTGAGCTACTAGCTAGGTCAAGACATTCGAAAAGGTGATATTTCGATATGTAACTCGACCTAGTCCCGTCCCACACACAGATATGGAAGGCAAGGGGGGGGGAAGCTTTGTTGCATGACCATGATACAAATTTTCAACTTGCATCTGTTGCTTACCAACATGAGATGGCCACACAGTTATGTGGGGATGCGAATGATACCAGCCTAGAATCCTCATGGGACACTTTCGGGTCGTTAGCATTCCTAACTGGTACTTGATCGTTAAGAATTGATACTTGGCGAAGTGTTGAAGAATTGTTAATAAATGAATAAATACAAGTACTATCATTATCGTATTTTACCATTCTTGTCACGTTGTTCAATACTAGGCAGCTTAAGCAGCTTGGTTATTTTTAGCTTGCTTACTAATGTAGTTAACTACTTAATTTTGACATATATTGAGCCAGAGGTGGAAAACTATTTGATTTTAAGGTCTTTTAATGATCCAATTTTGTCGGATCCAATTCACTTCTGATGGATGCTTCATAGTCTTTTGACTTGCAATATACATATATGACAAGCAAATGAACTAAATAAAGCCAATGCAGCGCTGTTTTGTTAATAACAAGCTACATTCCATACGTCCAAAGTGAATTGGATCCGACAAAGTTGGATCGTGTGAACGGACCTTTAATTAACCAAAGTTTTTGCTAGAACTACTCGCTGTACATTAGCTATGCTGCACTCTGATTGGTCGAGATAAGTTGAGATAACCGCATGCAATACACTTCATGGTATAATTGTTAATTATTCTCGTGAAAAAGGATATTTCTGCTTGTGTTGAAGCATGAGATAGTTGTTCTGGCGATATTTCGACACGATCCTTTCTTTTATCAGATCGCCGGAGCATAAAAACGGTGAACACGTGAGATACGTTGAATTCGTCGATCTACGAGCAGAAAGTGAAAATTTTAATCACAAAAACTAAAAATATAAATACAGATTACCTTACTACAATAGACAGGTTGCATTGCGGCTTTCTACTACCGTACGCGGAATTTTTCAATTGAACGAAATTATTCGCTTGATTTTATTTTCAATTAATTGTGAGTTCAGTTTATCAACAATCCACTATTTTGGTGATGTATTCGAACAAATTTTAGGGCACCTACCTGCCCTACCACCAAGCCAGTGGTGTATTTATATATTCATATGTCCAGTTCTGCCCAACGGATTTCTTTTATAAGTGCAATAGCTTTAAATAGAAATCACCATCTTCAGCATAACTGAATATATGAATATCACCCTCTCCCCAATTGTCGTTCTAGTTGCACCCCTGTGCCAAGCACAATCCAGGTTGTAAAAAGTTTGCAGCAGTAATGTTTTGGACTTAATTTACAATTTTTACAGGTCACCAAATTAAAAAATGGTGCTAGATAGGACTGTTAAGGAGTAAAATCTTGTTGCCAAATTTTTTTTGCAAGGCTAATATAAAGCAAGGTCATCTTTGACAATTAATGTTTACTTGTGACTCATGGATTCAATACACATCCTTAGATTCAGTTGACTTTGAAAAAATCTGAAAAAATAATCCCATCTATGTGGTTTATGTAATTGGCCTCAGATTGAGCCCTTTTCGCAAGGCTAAATATCAGATTCATTATCAGCCTCTGTGGTTAATTCAAACATTGAAATTTCACCCTGGTTTGAGCTACCTGAACTAAAGTGACAATGCTGCAAATGTAATATTTTCATCTTGGGGCTGAAACAATAAGTATAATAATAATAAATATAACAATGAAGCAATATTTGCTATTTGTTTATATATTTCCTTTGCATTTTTGTTGTCATCTGATTCTCCAAGGAATCACAGCAAAGTTAAAGTTCAGCCAATGAATATGTAAATGTAACAATTTTCTTCTCAATCAACAAGTAATCATGTAGTTGGCTCATAGGAGGCTGTGTTTGTGATAAAGTCATGTTTATTGTGAGAAATCATGTTGGCCAACCGAACAAAACTAATCCTTAATACTGTACACTCAGGAAATTCCATAAAATGCAACTATAGTGGTTTCAGTGTTTGAGCTCCTCAGGGTAAAAAAATACACTTTAGATCTTTTTCATTTAGCGGCCAAAGCTCTAGGAATTTCTTTAAATTTAAACCAACCAAAAAAAACCTCATATATATTAGGGCCTATATGGAACAGGTATATATAACCTCAAATATGTCAACCCTGGAGGCTTAGTAATCAAACCAACAGACTTATTTTAGTATTGATGTTAATCATGTTAATGTGTTGATATCATGAAAGATTATTCCACGTATTTGTCTCTTGTTGATCAAAAATAGTCAGCACAGTAGCCCTAATTAACCCATTACCTAAAGGCTATATAAAGTCCATTAGTTCTGATATCATTATTATCTCCAAAGTATTAAATCATCGTTACTTCGATATGCAACATATTGGGAGAGTCAGAAGCTTCTCAAGTGAATTTTTTCAATTTAAACAAACGTGTATGATCAACAATAACTTGGACAGTCGGCATGTATGCTCAGTATGGAAAGGAACCCCAAGATCTTTATAAATAAAACATCTTATTCAATCAGGGAGAATGTTTCATATTGAATATAAACCTACTTCGCCAATCAATAGTCCCATTATTTCCTCTCTGTCGGTAGAAAAAGCATGAGTTAAGCAAACCATGAAGGCATCAGCCTGAAATTTTACTTCTGAGACAGCCGCCATATTGTTTTGATAAGTGAAAGGGGGGGGGAGAAAGGTATTCTGAGAAGTGGGGGGAATTCCTGTACTAGCCACTAGGCCGTCTTCGCCAACCAAAAACCATTATTTTCCTTTCTGAAAAAGTTGTTTAACGAAACCTTTAGCAGTTTAGCTCAACGTACGTAGCCTCAGAGCGACTCATTCAATGATTCGAAATAAAAATCTATGATAAATTACCATCCCTCCATTTACTTTGACGATACGAGGTTATCTAATCTAGTGAATAGCCTTAAAATCCTTTGACTTTTTGGCGAATATTTTAATATGTAACACCAAGAGAAATTAGTACAGAATTGCCAACTTCTAACGTTGAAACGTTGATAGCCTCATTGTGCTGCTTTAATTAGTTTAATATTAATTGTTTCTAAACATAGGAAATTGGATTTTATGTAGTGAAATCACTTCGCAGGTACACCATACAGATACCTGTCGCAATGACATGTAGTATATTGTCAATTGTCTGGGATATTAAAATAATATTGTAATAACGTAACTATGACATGTACGCTGGATAATTTTTTTTCAATTTATTTTCTCTACCGTTATGAGCATATGCCTCAGATATCTACGTCTTTTACTCAAACGAGCGTGGTGTCTCATAGTAATTAGTATTGTATTTATAAGTATAAAATTTTGCCGTGTCTGGTTTCTACCTGAAACCACGTTTATGGATAATGCACTGATTACTACTAGATCAATGTAAGTATATTATTACCGAAATGTTGCCCAGTGCTCCTTACTATCATATTGTGATATTACTGTTTATATACTAATTAAAAAGAGATCGGTTTTAGCTCAGTGATGTGCTGCCAATATATATACATGTGGAGGCAACAGACTATAAAACATCCACCAGAGGTGATCCGTTAAAATTTGATCGTGTAAACAGACCTTAAAAAAGTGATTATTAAGGAATTTAGCAACACAATATATGGATATTGAACAGGGTAGATTTTCATGGCTGGAAATTAGAAAGTTGACTCAATAATTTCTATCATTCTTATGCATGAATGTAGCATTCTTTGGTTGAATCATGCAGTAGCGTGGCCAGCCTAATATTTTGGGTTCATTGACTGTAAAATTTTTCAACTTTCTGAAGAAACCATTCCATAGTTATGACGTGGTATATGTATGATAGTTGTATAGCGGGACAAAAGCTTCACACTGGCTATGCTACTGTGGGTGATAAAGCATTCAGTAATCGATTTATCCGCTAATTCCGCTTATGTTTGAATTTAACAGAACGAAAAAGATCAAAGCGAGAGAAACGTGCAGTTCAGCTCAAAAAAACATAATGTTTCTGAAGACGCACAAAACTGGAAGCAGCACAATCACGAACATTCTCAATAGGTTTGCCGATCGGCACAACTTAACCGTTGCGCTGCCCATGGACGGATTTTATCACTTCCTGTGGCCTCTGCCATTCCAAACTGACTTTGTACAGAACCGGGTTCCTCGACCGAATATACTTTCAAATCACGCGCGCTTTGATGCCAAATCGCTTGCGGAACTGTTGCCAGATACAACAAAATATATTTCAATCTTGAGGCATCCTGCTACGCAGTTTGCCTCCCTGTTTCAGTTTATGGATTTGGGCGGGTTGCTCGCTGCGAATGGAAATCGAAAATCCATTTCCTTGGAGTATTTTCTCGATAATGCCTTCGAGATACTCAGTTCTCTAAATCGACGGTATCCACAGATACTCATCGATAACCCAAGCCTGCAGCTATTGCGTAATCCCCAACTGTTCGATTTTGGATTCGACCAGTCAAATGAAGCCATGACTCGCGAACAGCTAGAAGTCATATCGAGAAAATTTAACTTGATTCTCATAATGGAGCACTTCGACGAATCATTGATACTTCTTAGGAGAAAGCTGTGTTGGACTTTAGACGATGTTGTCTACTTTAAACTCAACCAGCAATTGGGGAAGAACGAGCCCACGAGTGCGCGTGTTCGGGAAAAAATCCTCCATTGGATCAAAGAAGACGTGATGCTCTACAAATATTTCAATGCGTCGCTGTGGGATGAGATAAAAAGGGAAGGAGAAAGCTTTTGGAACGAAGTCGCGATGCTCCGTAAAAGGAACAGGGAACTGAGTGCGGAATGCCTGCGAACAGGTATTTTCATTGACAAACCGTACAATAGTTCCGCAGCTGTGATATATGGCTATTCTCTCAAGCCGAACATCTCAACTGCTTTAAAGTTAACCTGCGAACGCATGGTGCGTCCTGAAATGAAATATCTGGAATATTTTAGGACCGTCTCCAAAAGATTACAACCAGGTTAAATTTGGTTCTGATTTGTGATTTTTGTATAATAGAGGGACATGATAATTGAATTATCAATTTCATGAAAATTAAGAAAATTATCAATGTTTTGCAATTAAATATCTTTCCCATTTTTTTTTCCTGTATATGGTAATTTTTGCTTTTGTTTACATGGTTATTTTGTAGTCCCTAGTGGGTGCCTATTACTCATATAGGATTATTCGAAGGGAATTTCAGTACCCTCAAATTTAATTGTACTTTTCATGTTTGAATTCATTGTACATTACATCAATCGAAGTTCTCTACCGATTTTATAACGGAACACATGCATATTGCAAATATAATAATTTAGGCAATTTTTATTGTATTCCATACATTTTTCTAATACATAATACGACATTGAGATTTCCCTCTTCGGGCTTAAATATTTTTTATCTAATTTTACACATCCTTCAAGTAATGATTACATACTTTGCGTCATTTTTTAAATACATCGTAAAGTAGCTATTTTTGAAGGGAATTCGCAGCTGAATTAAGAGACCCGTACTAGCACTAGTTCTCTATCCACCTTTAAAATTGGCATGAATTGCGGTCTCCAATTATATATAATTCTGGTCTAAATAGAGTTCATTCGCTTTCCCCAAACCTTGATAGAAAATTGAGTAACCGAGCAACTTGATTCCAGATAAACATGCATGGCCTATCCTGCAGTGTGCTTCATGCATTTGAATCAGATCCTTTGAACCGCAGCCAGTTGTCGCTCGGCATGATTATTACTGGTTGTCCGGTTCCGTATGTCCCTCACGCGTTAGCCTTGCAAATCATCGACGCGAGTTCCTTGGCATAGTGCGCAGTGTTGCTCAGATCAATGGCCAATACGTCTTTACGATGCGTCGCAAGCCTTCTCAGCTCCTCGGGGATATAGCCAGAGTCGCTCACAGCCGTGGCTATGATTCGCACATCTTTTTCTTTCATGTAGCCTGCCTCTCGGTATGCCCGCGAGATATCGTGTGCTCGACCGTCGCTGAAGATGACGAGAACATTTTCCACGGTGGAACGATCACCAGCTTGTCCGTTGAACACCTGTGAGTGAAGCATCAATTAGTAACGCGGTGAGTAGCGATTTATGGAGATTGGAGAACAATATATACTAGTGACAGATGTAGTAAGGAGGAAAGAAGAAAGAGGGTTAGAGGGAACTTGGGAAAGACGCGGAGGGAGGAAAGAGGTGGTTAGAGAGAACTGAAAGAAAGACGGGGAGGGAGGGAGAAGAGGGTTAGAGAGAACTTGGGGAAAAACGCTGAAAGAGGAAAGATGGGATTGAAGAAAACTTGAAGAAAGAGTGGGGAAGGGGTGGGGGGGGGGGGGTAAATAGTGAACGGAATAACCCTGGAGGCTGTTCAAGAAAGATTTACTTTGTCTAAGAAAACTTCTATTTGTTAATAACATTTTTCCCCTAAATGATTTTTGGGGGAATATCGGTAAGAACGTTCCTCTTTTTGTTAATAAACTTAACATATGTGATAGGAAAAAAAGGACGTGAAAATTTTCTAGCATGGCCCGTTACTTTCAGTTGTTTAGTTTTAAAGAAGGGAAAATTGAAAGAAAATCACTGCATGTGTACCTCGTTATTTATCTGGCTCAAAGCGTCTCCCAACATTGTATTTCTTCCAGAGTGATATTGCATATTAATAATTGCGTTCAGTTCTTCAGGCAAGGTGTGTTTTTCAAGTTGGAATAAATGTTCTGTTTTCTCGACCGTACTGAACTGCATCAACCCCGTATGCAGATCTGAAGGTGGCGACTCTATTAAAAAGAACACGTCTTTCAGGAACTTCCGCTTCTTGTCAAACTCTCCTTGGTTGATGCTTCGAGATCCGTCCAGGAGGAATTGAACGTCGACTTTTTTGTTTCGACAAAGTGATACGACTAAATGAGAGAAAACTAAATGTTAGCACACTGAGAAAACACGTTGAAGCTGGTGGCCAGTCATAATGTAAACGAATGTTTTGTTAACATTTTTAACTGCTGTCATTTGAAATACGACAAAGTGTCTGCGAATCTCGCAAATTATTGGTTCGCTGTGATCTAGAATCATGAATCACTAGAAACATTCGAAACCAAAGAGTTATTGCAAAGCTGTCAATCATAGATCTAGAATTTGCCTATTTAAGTAAAGGGCCCTTCAGAAAACTGTATTACATGGGTACATCCACTGTAATGACGTACAAAGTCAAGCAAAATTGTGCTCATTATCAAAATATTATTATCGATTATCGGTTCTTGACTTACCTCCAGGTAAATTGACTGACATACAAATCTTCTCGAGCAGGTCCATTTTCTTGTCAGCTAGTTCGCTGTACTTGCACGTGATAGCATCATGCTTGAACGATGACATTTTTCCAACGGATTGCGCCAAATACCAGGGGTATAGGCTCACTCCTACAGTAACGACTTGAACCCCCTTTCTTTTCAGCATTTCAGCCTCTGCCACCGCTTGCTCCCTATCCGTTGGCCTGTCACGCGTTATAAGAACGACAACGTCCTGTGCATCTTCGCGGTCGTAGAGCGTGTTGAATTCGTAGAACTGAAATATTTGTTAAAAGGTAGGATGTTTCAACATATTTCAACAAAGTTCATCCAAAAAAACTCGAAAGACAGCATGTGAGATGATATTTTCAAGCCTTCAAGGTTCAAACATATATATTGGTAGTATTTTTGTACGAAAGTCACCCACCTTATTACCGGCAACAGCTAATGCTTCTCCGACCCTTTTTTTCGTCCCACCAACTTGTTTCATATCATCAATCTGACGTTTCAAACTACTCGTATCAACTCCATCCGAAAGTTCAACTTCCATCCAGGGTTTGCCATATCCACCATATTGCATCACACCAATTCTGAACCTGTCCCCTTCCAACTCCGAAATCATTTCCTTGACAAAATGTTTCACTTGTTTCCATTCCTTTCGCCTGGTCGCTCTATGTTGTTGGTAACTATATGCACTGTCAATGATGAAGAGAATATCCTTTGCTTTGCTGTGACCGCATGCAGACGGACCCGGAACAAACTCCGTTGTCGGTGCAATTGTTACAGCTCGCGTTGTCGGTGCTGTGGTTGATGGCAAATTCGTGGTCGATTTCTCAGTTGTTGTCGATTCGGTCGACGTTGGGATCTGGGTTGTGGTAGGACGTTCAGTTGTAGTGTGTTTCAAAGTTGTTGTTACAACTGTCATCGGTTTTGAACTCGTCGTTGATCCCAAAGAAGTCGTTGCTTCGGTGGTACTTGGCATCTGAGTTGTGGTCAGACGTTCAGCGGTGGTAGGTTTTGAAGTTGTGATTTCCACTTCCTCCGTAGGTAACCCGCTGCCACTGGTGGATGTTTGCTCCGTTGTAATTCTTGCTGACGTTCTTGGAGCTGTAGGACTTGGTTCTTGTGTGGAAGAAGGCTTTTCAGTACTAGTTGCTGTGGAAACAACCGTCGTAGGCGCCTTCGTGCTTGGTACAGTGGTAGGAGGGTTAGCGGTAGTTGGTTGCGGTACTGTAAAAGACAAGCATATATATTGAAGGCCAAAGGCACATCAATAATAATGTACTAATTTACAAGCCTATACTGACGTGGGGCTGTTTCAAGTTTGGATAATTTTCAGGTATCGAGTATTGAAGTATATAACAATAATAACATAATCCTTTCAATTATATGTAATTATCCCGACAATAGCATGCGCTTATTCAGTTTCATATAGTTTCATTTAGTTTCAAGACCTAGTGACCTAGTCGACCTCAAAATCATCTTATGTTTCGCTGAATCTCTGGTAAACTATCATCTTGCAACCAGACGGACATTCTACTCGGCCGACAATTTGGGTAGATTCCTCGTGTATAACGATATGCCTAACATTTCACTTACCGTTAAAATCAATGCAAATTTTTTTTCCTTTACACGCATGAGGACAACATAAATGTACCCTCGATCCCATGTTTAAATGACTGCATTCGGCATCGTTCTTGCATGGTTCCTCGGGATCTCCTCGGCAGAATCCAGTAGGACGAGGACACGTGATCTTTGCAGCTATACAAAATAATTAAAGTTGGATTAAAGTTGTGTCTACTGATTGGTCAAGCGTTAAAGTGACCGATGAATAAATAGGCAATTTTGGAAAACGATGCTGTATGTTAATGAACGGAATAGGCAAGTGGCTTGAAATTTTTCGAGGTAAAAGTAAGTTGTAGAATTCTGCCTAACTTTAACTCCGCTTGAAATATCGTTTTATTTCATTTGTCCTACAATTCTCGAGATATTTGTTTACGTTTGTAAAAAGTGTATTTTCTCTAAACCGATTAGTTTTTTTAAATATTAATTAACATAGCATTTAGCTAAAGTCTTTTGGGACTAAACGCAATAATGACTCCATCCAGATTGGCCAATCATAACGTAGCTAGACTGTGGGGAAAATCCCTTAAGATGAACAGCGGATGTGTTCTCTTGTCAGAGCAGGTTGAATTTATACTATTCCGCCCCGGAATATCTTAATACACTGTTTCACCGTTGAGACCCATACTGGGTAAACCTTGTCTTTTTCATCATAATTCTATAAGATGATTGTCGAAATCAAACGCTAAATAATCAATATAATTTTCCCTCGTACAAACCTTTGTTATTCGAAACTGGTGCGCTTTGAATCTCCGCAACAATTTCCAGAAATACCACCAGAAATACGACAAGTTTTGATGTGATACCCTGTGTTTCGAGAAAAGATAAGAAAAGTATAAGAATATTTAATTTATCATCTCGAAGGTCGAATGTCAATGACCCGAATGTATAACTTCTACTTGCATTAAGATAGGTAAAACAATTGACGCGGCTATATAGGTCAATTTGAAAGATTTGTTTCCAGAGTTGTATAGGTTATTTTAATGAATGACCTGCCCAAAATCAGTTAATAACACCGTGTTTCGAATTTCTAGTAGGAAGTTAACAACTTATTTGCAGTAGAAAACTTCAATTATATAGCTTCTTTATCTTCCTATGTTCACAATGAAAAAAGTTATGCGAAAAGGCAATCGATTAAATGAGTTTGGCAGAGAAATATTGTAGCTTCAAATCCATGTGTCAGTGCCGGTATATTTCCCAATTGCCAGCATGCGCACTGCTTATCGAGTTAATAGTATAATTCATGACCCACAGTACCTTGTTCATTTTTAATATTCTTTATACAGCCTTGCTTGTGAATTATTCCCTTGCTTGTTCTTGTAGATGTATCTATGTCGATGCAAACTTGTGGATACAGTTCGACCATGCAACATCGCGATATTTATATACGCGCGCCGTCCAAACTTTTCCCAGTATGTAGGTTACGTCACCAATTGAATCCTGACCTCTTGACCCAAACAATATGCCAGGCCCAAAGATTTAATGAGTTTAACTGAACATTAATATACACCCCGGATATGCATTCCTTTACAAGTAGTGTTTATCATATCGAGTGCTTCACACGCATAACATCTAAGTACATGCATGTTTTGGGGCCAATCGCTCCTGGTCGATCGCTTCAAGAAATATCTGTGATTGTGAACTATTTGTATATAGATGCCTTTTATTAACCACTAATATAAAGGAAACCGCAAAGTCGCCTAGGACGTTCATATACGATGCACGTCCCTGGCCCCTCTGATGAACAGGCGTGTCAATTTGCCACATATGTGCATGGAAAACAGGAAATAAAGTGTACACGGCAATCGCCCGACCTAATCGGACCGCTGTCATGCTGGGCCTTTTTAGAAACTATTATCCGAAAATAGAACGAAGTAAATAGCCAAAAGGTTGGCTGTTCTTAAATTTATTATTTGGCTCACAAAACGTCGTAATCCTATTAACCCCAGCAGACTGGAACAAAAGCGCAACCTAACACATACAAATAGGAAAGGCGATATTGCTCGATCCTTCTCCAATGTACAAAATGTTAAACAATCTCTCTTTGTTTCACATAATTCGTGATATGGACTTGATGCTGCCTAAACGAAAGACTAGTGAAAAACTTTTTTTATTATATATTGGTGCATCTCACTCTAAGAAGTATTTTATCCTTGATCCGGAAGAAACCGAAAGTTAATGCATGGGCTGACTTGTGTTTAACTTATGTTTCAACTTTGTGTGCCTATATATGAAGGATTTCCCTGATAACAAATAGACGAGTGGTTTCATACCTAAAATGCATGACTAGCTAGAATTTGTAATTATAGCGGAATTTCTTTTCTTTTCGACTGTCTGAAAGTAAGGGCGCCGGCATATTCCCGACACTATAATTATCAGTAATATATTGGTAAGTCTGTGTATGAGAAAGGTAACCAACTCAATGCCAATAGAGCTATCTAGATAGAGAGTTCAGAATTAATGAAAATACATGCATAATATAGTATAGTAAAAAACCACAAAAATTTGAATTTTTTCACAACATTATATCACATTGACATAAAACGTTGGTGACATCAATCAGTTACTTTATAGCATTTAATGATCGTACAAACATAATGCATTGCAATGTCTGGCTCGCTGCATGGGGCTTGTAACGCCCTGACCTAAATTGACCGTTCCTTGGACCCCTATAAAATAATAATTTATCAAAACATCGTATTGCTGTACTTCTATTATAAGTATTATTTAAGTCCAGTGCGGTTGAATTCCGGCGTTTAGTTTTTTTCACGACAACTATAACGATTTCCGATGAAATATATACGTTCACGCTGAGTGATGGCTTTCGCCATCTCGATGTTTCCTTAGCAAATGAAATGTATGCAGTGTCATTTTCTATATGGGAATTAAGAAGGGATTTATAGTGTTATATTAGTGTATAATATAGAATTATAGATTTATTCCTTTCAGTTGGGGGTTTTGCGGGTTTTTAATATAAGAAATTTCTTAAAATCACTGAAGTCTGGAAATGTTCGATCACGCAATATATTTTTTAAAAACATGCTATAAAACGTACCCTTTTAAAACACAAAGTTGATACATTACACTGATATAGTACTATTCGTGTACGCATGTCCAAAGTTGTCATGCAGGTGTTCATGAATCATGATTACCCGTTCGGGTTCTTATACCTAGAATTGTCTGTCCAATATACTCTTTATTATACTTTATTATAGGAATGCGCCCTTTTAGGTACATACAAGTTACCTTCCAAGAACTAATTCTAGTGTATATAACACTCGATAGAAATATATATAGACAATATATAATATACTGACAGCTTTCGAACTTACTCATCTCAGGCTATACAGGCTAAACATGCGGAAATTCAAAGCATTGAAGTAAACTATGCATGTTAATGCATGAGCCTAATTCGATATATCTTGTGCGTAATGATGACATGACGCGAATGAAAGGTGTTAGCCTCTTTACAAACGCGCAAATCACGTAACTAACGCATAGATCGTATATGTAAGAACAGCAACTTTAGAAATAAGAATGACGAAACAGGAGTAATTTGGAATTATCGTGTTAATGTTATCCTATTTTACTCCCTGTTAAGTGAATATTTCCGGCGCCATGCCCCAAAATACTGAATGACGGTATCTCTTTGTTCGGCAGATTATTCCACTCACACATGAATTGATTTGAATTGCTGGCCAACAATCTTAAATTTTGTCGAAGACTGTCTATATTAGGCCGTGCAAAGGGCATTTTATTTAAGTATATGCTCACTTATATATGGAAGCGATCAACTCGCAAGTCATCTATTTTATTTTTTTTTATTAAGGGAAGGGCTATAAGCCTATATGCTAGGTTTATATATATTATTCACGTACGAAAAAGCTGAATTAAATCTTTCCAAATTGTTTTCATGACTTGTTACTCGATACAAATGATCGCGTGTTCCGGCATTTGATGCCAAGCCAAAGCCGAAAGCAAAGCTTTTTTCTTCTGCTGAGTGAAGAGTGTTAAGACTTAAGGGCTTATTGGCATTGCTTTTATGATTTGCTTCCCCCGACGTAGCTAAATTTTAAAAAATATCGCGTGACATGTGGCGATCGCTGTAGCCACTTTATAGTTTATTCTTCGGTGTTTGTTTCAACTCTACCCATGCAGACGTATTACCTGTCCTGAAACGTTCAGACCATTTATAAAGAAAAAATGATAATTATCGTTGTCTAATTATATATTTATGTTAATAGGTAGTTTGACTTCCATCTCGCACGTCAGGGTAAAAATCATACGACTTATGGTGGCTATCAATATAAATTGCTTTTAATATGAACCGTGTTTCGTGTTTAAAATTATTTAAAATGATCATTTCCTTGCTTGACCATGACGTTAACTCATATTAACTCATCATATAAGACCCGAAGTGCTTATATATTCATTTCAATTTTCATATCACACGAGGCCTAGCTCAGGAAACGGGAAAGGCTGTGATGCAGGTAGCTATATGATTTTTTGATAGCGTCGGAAAAAAACCTGATTGAACCCCAAAGGCAAAGCACGCGGATGCACAGCACGACTGCACGTTTGAAATTAAATAAGACATTAATTTTGAATACTCTGAACCTTGATACCGAATACCATCATTTAACACTTAGCAGTTAGCGAGAAAATATGCACAGATAGATTGAGATACATATGTAGATATAGATATAGAACGTGGGAAAAGTATATATATACATATTTTATATATCTCGGCAGAAAACCTTTTCCAGCTGAAAATGTAATTTATGAATAAGAATATAAACATAATCCGGAAAACATTATCTTGTAAGGTTATAAGATATGCGCTACTATCATAAACATTGTGCGATGGTATCATTCCGAACTCTTTTTAAGTCATTTGACAAATTTGACAAAAATTATTATACGTGATTCAATAGCGCGTTTCTTGATTTTACAAGATTTTGCTCTCAGAGAACATTTTTTAATACTGTTTGGGCAATACGTATAGTAGAGAACACACGCTTGAGAAACGTTCTCTGGTTAATGAATTTATTTCAAGCTTTCAGCTATCAGTCTATAGCCTTCAATGGGTAGAATACAATTTTTTTGTTATTGACGTCCTGGCCTAGACGTTTACATGTTATTGCTTCCGATTGAGGCCCGGCAAGCGTGATGGTTCGCGTGACGCGAGCTAGCCTAAAATATTGAAAGAATTTTTGGTATTTGGACGCACCCATGCATCCTTTTTAATTTTGTTGAAATGAACAAGTGGCTCGATCATTCAAGGGCTTTTTTATACGGTACACGCTGACCACTGTCCTCTCGAAACATGAGCGGACGAGAAAAATCGATCGCCGTAAGACAAAAGTTTTATTTGTTTAAAGGATTAATAATCGCGGTGGAAACGGATATTTATAACCGTGACTACGAGCTTCTTCCGACCGCATCGTTTAGGGTCACTGAGTTCGGGTCGCCTTGAAATTATACAATATTCAAAAGGAAAACATGCCCCTTCTCAATGACCAATGTTGGATGGATTTGATTAATCATGACCAGAAATTGCGGACATGGAATATGCAGATTGCCGTACTGAACAAATTTGCATATTTGTTCAAATTATTCGTTTGCAGCTATAAATAATATTGCGCATTAAGTTACCAGTCAGCTATACATACACGACATCCATTTATTCTCCATTGGATTTTTTTCAGTTCGTAAGCGAGTTAGCATGTTTTTTAAAACACTTTAATTGTTGGCAGTTTCAAGCATTTGATACTTATGATCCTTCTCAAGCCTCACGGATTACTTCTGAGGTTACGTTTTTTATTTATTTTTATTTATTGTGAAGAATATAGAATAAAACTTATTAAAGCGTGTAGTATGAAAAGGATTGAGACAAACTACGGCGAGAAATCACCTCGATCTACAACAAATTAAACAAGTTTCTGAACTTTTCTGAACGTGGAAAATTTGTGCAATTAAGATTACGTCAAATGTTTTTAAAACTATAGTGAATGCAATCTAGTACTTAGATCTATCTAAAAAGTTAATTGTTTCATTTGAAAAGGTACACTTTTAATAACTCTAGGAATTTTTGCCTAAAACACGATTTTGTCCAAATTTCCCACTCCTCGATAAATTCAAATCGGCTTTATCCAATGGCAATGATTGGACTCTTTTATGGAAAACTAAAACATGCGGAGTTTGCAGGCGTAGCCAGCCTGATGACTGGATAGAAAAGGACCCCTTAACCTTTATCAAATTAAAAAGAACTGCAGTGCACGTCCGAGAAAATCATTCACATGAGGGTAAAAATATGAAATCATAAAAATCACGGCAAGCATAAATAAAACACACAGAACCAATGATTAAAGACTACATA